GATTCCCCTATCTCATTTCACGTGTTCCCGGTTTTCCCACAGTTCAAAGTGTAGCATCACATTTGCCACTGAATGCTTTCTCGGGCTCCTGCTAAGGCTGTTAGAGTCCCCAGAAACGTGAAATGTGTCCTCTTGAGAAAGCCTTGTCCATGTGACTGATTTCTCCCAGGGCCAGTGAGCCATGGTCTGAATAAAGGTTTTCCTGTGGCTACTATTTTGTTTCTCTGATGTGCAGTGAGTTTTGGCTTCTGGTCGAAAGCTTCTCCACCTTTTTTTCTTTTTGCACCCATGTGGTTTCCCCCAGGCTTTGATTTAGAATGATTTCTAGTGTTTTCCACTGACGGTACTTCATGGATTCCTCCCCAGCTGAGGTTGCCGACTGGAATCCTGACCTCCTGCCAAAGCCCTCACTTCCTGTCCAGTCATCCTTGTTCTCTGGTGGGAACTCCTCGATACACAATGAGGTCCACCTTCCTCCCTTGGCTTTCTCACACATTTCATTGTTGGTTTTCTCCATATCACGGCTGATTTTGTATAGCGACAGAGGCTCTGTTATTGGGAACTTACCATATTTAATATATATTTATATTTAATACATCCACAGGGTTTTATTTTTTGGGTTTTTTTTTTTTTTTTTTTTTTTTTTTTGTGTGTGTGTGTGTGTGTGTTTGTTTGGTTTTCTGAAACAGGGTTTCTCTGTAGCTTTGGAGGTTGTCCTAGAACTTGCTCAGTAGACCCAGCTGCCTTGAACTCACAGAGATCCACCTGCCTTTGTCTCCTGAGTTTCCGAGTGCTGGGATTAAAGGTGTGTGCCACCACTGCCCAGCTCCCCCAAGGTTTCTTTCCTTTCTGAATTTGTCAGTGTGACCAAGTTATGACTTAGAAAAGAGATTTCTCATCTGAAATTCCCTCTCTTGGTTCTTCCTTTTTGTGCTCACTGGGGAACTGGCAAATCCCCATAGTCGCCTTCATAGCTTTGGATTATCAGATATCTGGCCGATCAAACTGAACCCTTGAATACAGTTTTGTGGGTCTTTTTTTCCTTCACATTTGTGAATCTTATAAGGGATTCTGCTAGTATGTTTTTTTTCTTCCTGTGGAATAAGAGCCACACTATTATCTGAAGGTTTTATCACATCACCTGCCCTTGAGTTATTCCTCCTGGTATATATTATAGGAGCTAGCAAAAGTGGAGTTCCGAATCAGAGGCTTAGTCCATATTTATTATGATTAGTTTTTTTTTAATCCAGCATGAGCTGCTCAGAGAAAGGTTGCCCCTTGAGACGAGTTTCACTCACCTCTTCATAACCTTTCTTCCCATGAACCTGCTGAGACTTGCATCTAAGAGATTATTTTTATATTAATAACATGCTTATACTTTCTCAACAGTGCAGAATTTTATCAAACATATTCTAGTTTTGTCACACGTATGGCATGCTTGCTTCTTGGGAACTTACCCCCAGTAATCCATTGCACATATGCCTTTTTCACTTTTTTTGAGTGAATCTAGTTAACAAATATAACATTCCCCCAAAGTTCAACTTCAATTTCCTGTTGCTTCTTTAGTTATGTTTGCAGTTTCTTCTAAAATATAATAAGATGTTCAATTGTATATAAATTTCTCCCACCATCTAATAAAATGAATGGCCTTCAGAAATACCCTTAACTGTTTGGCATGGCGGCACATGCTGGGGGAAGGAGAGCCAGAGTTCAAAGCCAGCCTCAGCTATACAGTTGGTTCAAGGCAACCCTGAACTACATGAGACTGCCCCCACGCCCATCCCATTTCAAGAACCAAAGGAAATCAACAGCAAAAATGAAATACACTTTATTATTCTGAATGTTTTTATTTTGAAATGTGAAAATTTCCCTAAATAGTTTCCATCTCTTGGGATTTAGAGGTGGAGGCTGCTTTGAGTCTAGGTGGACAGACATGAAATGGTAATAATTCTCATTAGTACCTTTGGCAATGAAGTAACTTCATCCAGGGGATCCAGCTCCCTCTCCTGGTTTCCACAGGCACCAGGCAAGTACAAGATACTCACATAAACATGCAAGCAACACACACACACACACACACACACACACAAATAGTAAACAGGAAACTTGAGATTAGGTCCATTCTATCACTTACTAGATGGCCAAGACAATTCATTTCTCACAGTTAACAACACCACGGTCTCCTTGGGAGCATCAGATCACCTGGAGCTGGAGTCACAGGTGGTTGTAAGCCATGTGATATTGGTGCTGGGAACCTAACTCCAGTCCTCTGGAAGAGCAGCAAGTCCTTGTAACTTCTGAGCTAACCTCCAGCTACCAGAAGGACATTTTGAAAGCAGTCAGTGGATATAGAAGATGACATTTTGAGACATGCAACTGAAGATTGCCAGAGCCAGGCAGTCTTAGCAAAAACAGCAGAGAGGAACCCAGGAATAAAATCGGGAGTTGAGAAAGCCCTGACAAAAGAGGAAGACTAGAGAACTTTGAAAGGGGCGTTTTCCCTCCAAAGGGCAGGTAGTTCCGGTGGCTGTTTGCGGGAATCCACAAACATGAGGAAACTTTAGCTGGAACACCCCTAAAACCTCCCCTGAGAGAATGACACTGGCACTTCTGATGTGTCTTCCCTCTGAGCAGCTCAGCAGGATGAAGGAAAGCTCTGAAGGGAGGTGTCTCTTTACGTCACCCTAGTCCAGATGAGGGACTGAGGAGACTGACATTGCAAGCAAGTTCAGCACACCCTTTGCCACAGACACAGACAGGTTACCGGGAGATAGTATCACAGTGTTGGGAGACATCTCTGCTCTGTGTGGAGCCCAGAGGGTGAATGGGATGTGTGAAGAATTGCTGGAGATGTGTCATTGATGGCTTGCAAACTGTAACCCCCAAAGGTCCCAAGCACTGCTCCTTATACATGAGTAGTGTACGTAAGTAGTCAGTCATTAAGACTTTGAAATCTAGAGATGGAAGGGATTGCTTTTCCTAGCACTGCCTCAAAATTAACCTGACTAGCAAGAGGTGGGGAAAACCCTTCTCATCATCCCAAAATCTTGCCTAAAAACAGGGAGATCAGAAGAGAGCATGTGGGAGAAACTTTTTTTTTTTTTCTTTTGAGACTGTCTATGTAGCCCTTGGCTGTCAAAACTCAGAGCTCTGGCTGCCTCTACCTCCTACCTCCAGAGCACTGGGATTAAAGCCTGCACCGCCATTCCTAGCTAGAGAACACTCATCAAGGTTCCTGAAAATGAACACTAGGAGGCAAAGGTGATGTTGAGGTAGTCCCATCAGCCATGTAGATAGTTCATGCTACTTCACATTAGAAAAGAATGGAAGAGTAACCAGGTAATGGCTGTCCTGGTTAAGGTGGGACAATACACTGCCAATCGGATAAAACATCATAATGCCACTGTCCAGCCAAGCACCACTACAAGACATTCAAGTTGGTCCAGGTATATTTAACAGGCTATTTACTGCCTTTCTGCTCCCCAGAAAAGGATGAGTGAATGAGCACAATTTACAAACTACACCGGAGGAAGAAAAGCTCAGAGAAAAGGAGATTGCAGCCAGCCTCCTAGGCTGTCACTGATAAAGGTGGCTGTACTTGCCACCTGGAGGTGGCACTTTTGTCATTAACAAAAAGGTGACAGCAAACTTAGAAATGTGACTCTCAAGCCATACATTTGGGAGCCTGGGGCAGGAAGATCACCATAAATTTGAGGTCACCCTGGACTTAGTGAGTTTTGGACAGGCCTGGCTTACAGAGACTTTTGTCTCAAAACAAGCCAATACAAAACAAAAAGGAACTTGCAAACTCCCAGAGACTCAAGATAAAGGACAGGGAGGGTTTGTGTGAGTAAGGGCCCAGCAGGTCATGGATAGTGCTGGAAGCAGACGTCAGGAACAGGGAGCATGGTGCTGCAGGATAATACACAATCTGTAGGTCCAGCCATGTCAGACTGCAGGTGGATGTGTGGGGACACACCCTTGGGAGTGCCATGTAACCTTTTGAAATGCCCCTTTACATGCATAATGGAGGACATGTTCTCAGTCGCTTCCCATGAGCAGCCTGCCCACACAGGTGGGTTTTATTTGCTGAAAACTGAACTTAGGCTTTGAGGTGCCTAAAGCTTCCAGGTCTATGCAACAACCTAGAGTCTGACAAAATATAGAATTACCCCCTCTTTAACTGAGGACAGAGTTGTACCGCTTTAGTGGACAAGACTGCCCAGCTTCCTAAACAGCACTCCCACAAACCAGGAAGCAGGAACTTCTCTCCTAGAAAGAGCTCACTGGCTCCTCCATCTTCATTATGAAGTACATACTGTAACCTTGCAGTAGTACAGAAATTACAGATATAGTGCTTTTATAGAACACATAATTAATACCTTCAGAGACCTAGACAAAAGCTAGACAGGGACCTGGATGCACACTTCAATAACATGGGAGTGTCAGATACACTCTAATGCAGTTGGTACAGAGGAATGACCAGGAACCAATAATGGGTCAGAGCATCTGAAAACTGGCTGTCTCATGTCCATTGCATTTGGGCAGATGGCAAGTCACAAAAGGGGAAGTGGCCAGGAATACCAACCACAACTGGATGGTAGGGACTAACCCACTTGAAACTGATCAAGCTCCGCCCCTGACTCCTGTGGACAGTGTAACTTTACTATGGTTTGGAATGGCTAGAGGGTAATGGCTATTGGGGAATGCCCTGATTTAGGTACTATCAGTATCGTACTTAGCTGAGGTCTTGTTCAAAACTTTTGATGACTCTGCCTCTAGAAAGAGACTTTGAGTTCTGAAAGCTGGATTTAGGAGTGAAATCTAGTATCATGGACTTTGCCGATTTTGCAATTCAGATTTGCATTATGAATGAGGTCTACGGCAGTGACAAGGAACAAGATAATAACAGTTGGAGCTAAGTCAGAAGAGGGTCACATGATTCAAATGGACTTTCAGAAGAACACGGGTAAGAAGCAAGTAGACCCAGGAGATTTGACAAAAGGTGGTTGAAACAGAAGCAGAATCATGGGAAGTATGATTTAAATGGTTCTTGACATGTGCATAGATGACTGACTGCAACTTCTTTACATTAGGCATCAGGGTTGTGGGTGAGGGGAGACAAAAGGTTCTATTAAAGGTATCAACTTTCTTACAGAAGAGAATCTAGAATCAAATGCATATAGACCATTTCTTACTTTTTTGTTCATTTGCATCTCAACATTAATTTTTATAATTTTATAATTATCTTAACAAATTGTGAATTCAAAAAACTGACATTATACTTTTAATGAAGTTTTATTTTGGTTCTAATACTTGGTTATTAAGGCCAATAAGAAAAAGTACTACTATCCAACTGAGGCAGTACTAAAGAGAAATACCACCCTTAGCACTCTCAAAACCCATGGCATCGTGATACTTGGCTTCTAGTAAATACAACAAGAGTCTTCATTGTGATTCTCCATGTGTTCTCTTATATTCAATAATTAATGTCATCATTCCCACAGCACTTCCATACAAACTGCATACATATCATTTTTCTCCAGTATGATGCCTCTGATGCTGAATGAGGTTTGCTGTCTGGTTGAAGGCTTTCCCACATTTGTTACATTTATAAGGTTTCTCTCCCGTGTGAATCCTCTGATGCTGAGTGAGGTGTGTGCTTCGAATAAAAGCCTTCCCGCAGATTTTACATTTGTACGGTTTTTCTCTTGTATGAATCCTCTTATGTTGGGTGAGGGCCGAGTGGTCACTGAAGGCTTTCTCACAGATGTTGCACGTGTAAGGCTTCTCCCCAGTGTGAATTCTCTGATGCTGAGCTAGGGCAGACTGGTCCCTGAAAGCTTTCTCACACAAGCCACATCTGTAAGGTTTCTCTCCGGTGTGAATTTTCCGATGTCGTGCAAAGGACGAATTATCCCTGAATGCTTTGCCACACTCACTACATCTATATGGCTTCTCCCCAGTGTGAATTCTCTGGTGTTCAGTAAGGGAAGAGTTCACCCTGAAGGCCTTTCCACATTCATTGCATTCAAAGGGTTTCTCTCCAGTGTGTATCCTCTGGTGCTGAAGAAAACTTGTACTCTGATTGAAGGCTTTCCCACACTCATTACATTTATAGGGCTTCTCACCACTGTGAATGTTCTGGTGTTTCGTAAGGTGTGCTCTGCAAACAAAAGCTTTGTCACAAATGTTACACTGGAAAGGTTTCTCTCCGGTATGTATTCTACGATGGTGGGAAAGATGTATGTTCCGGATAAAGGCTTTTCCACAAACGTTGCATTCAAAAGGCTTTTCTCCAGTATGGATTTTCTGGTGGTAGGTAAGCGAAGAGCTCACCGAGAAGGCCTTGCCACAATCCTTACATTCGTAGGGTTTCTCACCAGTGTGAATTCTTTGGTGATGGATAAGGTGTGTACTCTGGTGAAAGGCTTTCCCACATTCTCTACATCCATAGCGCTTTTCTTTAATGGGCATTTTCTGACTTGTGTTGAGTTTTTCAGTATGAATTTTCTGATGTTTCTTAAAGGTGAAACTCTTAGAAAAGGCTCTCCCACACTCACTGCATTCAAACGCTTCTTTGCTTGCTTGAGATCTCTGACTCTGAATGGGTAATGAGCTCACTGTGCAGCCCTTCTCAGACACCTCAACCTTCTGCTCACTAAGCTTTGATGGAGTGTCCTGTTGGGTGGGGCTCACTTGCTGCGACCTGACCTCCTGGCCTTCCTGGTACTGCCGGTCTAACAGGTTAACACATTCCCAGTGAGCCCCTCTGGTGACTCTCTCCTTCGTTATCCATTGATCTGATTCTTTTTTAGAGATATCTGCCCTGAGACATTCCTTACTCATGGTCATTTTAATCCCTCCTGAAAGATAATGAAAACACAAATGTCACTTTTACCCTGGTGAAACAGCTTGATGGAATGAAATGAACAGGTTGTTAACAATGCCAACAAAGAAACTGCAGCTGAAGACTTAAAGCTGTAATATGAACACAGGAGTATGGTGGATGCTTATGTAATGCACCCAAGGCAGGAGTGCTCGGGAGCTTGATTACAAAGATCCTGCATCAGGGTTGGAATTCTGAAAACAGTATTTATTTTGTTTGTCATTTAAATAGATTTTATATGACTTTTCAATCTCAAAAATATCTAATATAAGCCAAGCTCGATTCATGCTTGTAATCCCAGCATTTGAGAGGTTGAGGCAGATGGACCACAGTGAGTTTGAGGCTAACCTGGGTTAAAGAACAAAATTTGGGGGATGCCTGTGATTTAATTGATGACTATCCCAGTTGTCAGTGGAGAGCCTTCATCCAGTGTCTGATGAAGGCAGATTCAGAGACCCAGGGCCAAACACTGAACTTAGCTCAAGGAGTTTTGTTAAGAAGAGGCAAGAAGGGGTCAGGGACATCACAGGAAAATCCACAGAAATGGCTAGCTTGGCTCTTGGGAACTCACAGAGTCTGAACCAACAACCAGACAGCCTGCATGGGGCTGACTGAATATATATGACAATTGGATAGCTTGGTCTATTTATGGGACTCCTGGCAATAGGAGCAGGGGCTGTCCCTGGTGCTCTGGCTGGTTCTTGGGAAACTATCCCTTATTGCGGTTCAATAAGGATCAGGATAAACAAATAGGCCGAAACTTTACTTGTAACAGTTCCTCATGCTGGATTTCCTTGTCCAGCCTGAATACAGGGGAAGGTGCTTGATCTTATGGCAGCTTTGATATGTCATGCTTTTGTTGACGCCCATAGGAGGCCTGCCCCTTTCTGAATGGATACAGAGGAGGGATGGATTGAGGGAAGGGACAAAAGGGGGATGGGGAGGGGGAGGGAGTAGGAAGAGAGAAGGGAGGAGAGGCTGCAGTCAGGATGTAAAGTAAAAAATAAATTAAAGAAAAAAAGATTTGGGGGGATGGAGAGATGGTTAGTGGTAAGAACACTGGCTGCTCTTCCAGAAGATCCAAGTTCAATTCCCCATACCTACATGGTAGCTAATATATGTCTGTTACTCCAGTTCCAGAGCATCCAATGCCTTTTTCTGGCCTTTGCATGTACCAGGCACACATGTGGTACACAAACATATACACACACATAAATAATAACATCTCTTGAGAGAGAGAGAGGGAGAGAGAGGATTTTGTTTCAAAAATTCTCTAGAAAGAGAGAGATATCATAAATTTGAATGGTTAGTATCTAGAAGGGAGGAGAAAAAGTATGATCAAAATATAGTATATGAAAAATTTAATGAATCAAAGAAAGCATACAAAAATAAAAAAAAAAAAGAAAGACTTTAAAAAAAATCTCTAACGTAGACCATACTATGCTAACATAAAAGAGGTGTGTGTGGCTATCTTGTCCAGTGATAAGATCTTTATGACAACACCAATGCTGCCAAAACAACACTCTGAACCTGGAGGTCAACACTCTGAAGCCCCAACCAATGTTTTTATATTTTCTAGACTTATTTGAGTATGAATACTCAATCAGATAATCAGAAGTTCACTTGTCCTTTGGCTGTGTGAAGTGCTCGTGTACACTAACGAAGTAAGGATTCTCAACTGCACACACAGAAGCTATGGTCCCAAACGTGACATTGTGACATCTATGAGAGGAAAACACCACGTGACACAAAAGCAAGAACAGAAACTTAGGAACGAAACCCACCTGCTAGACAGCATCTAATATCTCTCGGAAGGGGACTCTGTGACTCTGGGAGAAGGAGCATAATGATCACTTACAAATGGGATTTTTAGCAGGAAAGTAGATATAGTGCCATGGATTATTTAACCAAACAATCTGTTGCTATACATGACAATTCCACACCTACTCAAAAACCTTCTCACTTGGGCTCATGGGTATTATGATCTTTTGAAGGCGAGTTTGAGATTCCATGCCATTTTCTGCTTTCTAATAAGTCTAGTTAAAGCTCTGAAGTATGTAATAGTAAGGGTTGGACACTAAACATGGATAATGTAGGTTCAAGGAAATCCTATCAACAACAAACTCTTAGTATTTCCCATTACCACTCACCCCAGATAATCTTCCATTGAGAACCACAAAACAACCGTAACTTTGAAAAATATCTGGGAGAGAAAAGCAAGCAGGTACATTTTAAGGCTCGAAAGATACGCCTTTACTTTAAACAAGCATAGTCAAAGCTAAAGTCCATCTGGATGCATCTCAGAAGAACAACTGAAAGGCAAAGGACATTTGGAAAATGGCTCCAGTGGTCAAGTTACAGTACCTGTAAGGGGACAAAAGCAAGTCTTGCCCATGCAAACCACAGAATCCAGAAGACAATGAAATAACATAACAAGGGGTAAAAGAACCGAATTGCCAAACTTTTGAGTTTCTCTTTTGAGAGAAAGCTGACCAAAACAAGAAAACATTTCTAAAGAGTAAACATGAAGTAGACACTAGCCTACAAGTAAACAAGAGACAGTGTCAACAGCTGGCCTAAGTTCAGAGAAAACCACAAGTAACCCTGATAGATGGGGGAAAAAAAAAAAACACCCAAATGTGTGGAAATACAGAAATGTAGGGAAAAATAGCAGAAAAAGTAAATTTTGGACAATAATTTTTTTTTGGAGGAAGCACAGGCAGGTATCCCAGGTCAGCCTTGAACTCACTATGCAGCTGACAATGACCTTGAACTTCTAATTCTCTTACCTTTACTTGCCAAGAGCTGGGATAAAAGGCATGCCACACATACAAGGCCTGGTTTATGCCATGCGGGGACTGAACCAGGGCTTGGTGTAAGTTAGGCAAGTACTCTACCCACTGAGCAACATTCCCAGTTCTGTGTGAGAATTAGAACAAGTAAAGGCATCATTCTGGATAATAAGATGCTAGTTTTAAGTATCACATATACCACTAAAAGGCAAAAGACTATAAACCAACAAACTAATACAGAGCAAAAGTAAAACAGTAAAAACAATTAATCCAAGAGAAGGGAAGAAAGATAACAAAAGAACTCAAAGCAGGTGAATAAAGAGTATAAATAGGGGAGTAGACACCAAACTCCACACACAGAGTAACTATCCTAAATAAATAAAGCCCAGCTACAGGGCATTAGAACACAAGTAGGAAAGTGCAGACATTGAAACAGTAAAGATAAAAGAATGGAAAGAATTTAAAATGTGAAAGAAAGGTGGTGCTTATATTAGTATCAGAAAAATCCCACATTAGAGAAAACCAAGAGGCAATACTCCAGGAATGTAATGCAACCATTCCTCCCAACCCTGTGTATATACATAGGAAAGAACTTCAAAATGTTCAAAGTCAAAATCAAAGCAAATAGAAGGAAAGTGATATGCCTCTAGCAAGACAAGTGGAGACAAGAAGCCCATGTCATTGATGGCAGTTTTTGTCAGTGGTCATGTGGATTTTCTATGTTTCCCTCATTTAGAGTGTATAGTACTGCAAGTGTTGAGGCAGCATCAGGACAGATTCCATAAAGGCATGTAAGATAAAAATATAACAGAGACAGTATGCCAATAATGATGGCTTGGCTCTAGGACCGTGTAGCACCACGAATGCACAAAATGAAATCTAAATGGGCCTCTATCTATGGGATATATAGAATCATCAACTACAACCATCTCACAGGAAAAACTTCCGGGGGACATGGCATCATGAGTGGATTCTTTCAGATGTTTAAAGAAGAAATAACACCACTCACAGTAGAAGGTCTTCCAAAGAAATGAAAAAGATCTCCAACTGGGTTTATAAAGCTGTGGAAGCCACCACAATGATAAAAATCACAGGGCATTCCTTTCTGTGAACACAAAAACAATTTTCCTCAACAAAACAGCAAAAACAAACGACAACAACAATAACAAAAACCCATCAAAAGAACCAGATGACCCATAATGGACAATCTAACACAAATCAGTTAAAGGTCCAGGTCACGTTCAGTCATCCACATTAGCAGAGTAAAGGAAGAAAACCCCATCAGTCTTTTGACAGGTGCTGGGAAGGCATCTGACTCAGTTCAAAGCAAGCCACGGAAAACTCACAGCAAAGCAGGACAGAAGTTTTGTAATTCAAGAAAGAGGACCTACAGGAACCATATTAACCACTGTTAATCATAAAATATTACAACAAAATACCTCTGTGAGACTGAAATGAAACAACCAAGCTGCTATTATCATTTTTATTAAATACTATGCTATGAGTCATAGTACAAGGTAAATAAAAAGTAAACAGAAGACTAGGCACATGGGTCCATGGGTAAGAGTGCTTACTGCACAAGCATGAGGACCAGAGTTCGAATCCCCAGCACTCAGGGTGGGAAGGGAACACAGGAAGATGGCTGGCGGGACATGACTCCTTCCTCTGGCCTCCATCTATACATGCACATATAACACACACACACACACACACACACACACACACACACACACACACACACACACCATGCTCCCAAATAACAATAATGACAACAAACTACAGAATAGCTTGAGTTAGAGAAGCTTATAGCCTCAGCACTCAGGAGGCAGAGGCGGGAGAATCACAAATTCAAGGTCAACCTTGAGTCCCAGACAAGCTTAAGTTACATAGTAAGACCCTACCTCAAAAAAATCAAAATTGAGCTGGGCAGTGGTGGCGCACACATTTTATCCCAGCACTTGGGAGGCAGAGACAGGTGGATCTCAGTCAGTTTGAGGCCAGCCTGGTCTACAAGAGCTAGTTTCTGAACAGCCAGGGCTAGATAGTTAGATCGTACCTCAAATAAACAAACAAAATTGATTAAAATTTGGAAAAGTCATCATTTGACATGACTATGTTCATATAAAATCCAAAATAATATCTGATTAGGGAATATAAAAACTATAGTATATCACATACCAGCAAT